CATTGGGGTCTTTAAACATTTCAAATTTATATAGGAATCATCCATTAAGGTCTTTGAAAATTTCAGATTTCAATTGTTAGTTAGTTAGTTAGTTAGTTAGTTAGTTAGTTAGTCAGTTAATTAGTTAGTTAAGAATCATCCATTAGCATTTTCAAAAACTTCAGTAGATGTTAGTTATTTATAGTTAATTAGGAATCATTCATTAGGGTCATTCAAACTTTCAATAGTTAGTTAGTTAGTTAGGAATAGGGCCCGTTTAAAATTTCAACAGGCCCCTGGATCTTACCTCCCAGTACTTTTTTTATTGTCTTCTTTCTTTTCTATGTATGTGAAGGTCCAGAGCATTCCAGAACTATTCTTTTCCACCATAATCCCTTCCTGGCTTTTTGGATTGTTTATACTAAATGTAAACATTTCCACCTGTTGTTCCCTGATGAAACGCGCTCCACCTGTGCCGGAACACCTGCCCTGTAGATGTTTTGTCCCAGAACACATGTTCGTAACACTGTCTGAATCTACTGTCCTTCAACCATGTCCTGATTTGATCTGCTGGTCGGTGATTCAGCGCAGACGTTTATATGCGATCTAAGGCCAAACATGTGCTGCATTGCCACGTCATCTACACTAGAGCACGGATGCTGTCCTGAGGGTTCATATATTGTACACGTGGAGCTGTTTTAGGGCAAGAAGGCCAGGATCAGCTTCATATGAGTGTTATGGGATCAAATAGTTACCCATCTCGATTATAATTATTGACATCCGGAGAGCCTTAAAATCAGCATTTTGAGTTCCCTCACAAGAATATTGTTTGCACACTAGCTACAAATGGCTAACTTTTGTTAGCTGCATGTAATATTATGAAATATTCAATATTATAAACACAATAAGCCACTCAAAGCCATGGGTAATTTTATGTTCCACAGAAAAAAGAAAGTCAATCAGTTTTGGAATTACAAGAGGGTAAATTAAAGAATTCTTCCACTAATGCTAATATAATTAATTAGGCTCACTGTAGACTGTTTACAATGTAGCTTAGCGCATTAATATCAATTTGAAGCCACAGGTAGGATATGTTCTATTTATCAGCATTTTACAACAGTTTTGAGCGAGGCTCACTGAGTCAGAAGTTCGACTGAAGTTAGAGTTTTCAGATGTCTTTTTTTAACCTGTCTTTTAATTGCTTATGTTTCCTCTTTAACTTATAGTTTATTATCAACACAGAAGGTAAGAGCAAGCCACTAGGGTGGTAGCCTATCAATCTGATTAGGTTTAGCAGACGGAAAGGGCCCATCCCCACAGTGTAATGTAACTTTGGCATTAGCTTGAACATGAAATCCTTTCTGCGGCACATGCAGCGCAAACCTTTACTTTATCCGTTTTACTGCAAATTAAAATTTTGTTGCTTTTTCCGTCTGATTTTACGGGAAACATCTGGGGCTCGCACCACTCCGTAACTGTGGCCCTAGGCATTCTGGCTCAGAAGGAAGGTGGGAATAATGAGACCGTATCAAACACGCTACTGATGGATAGGCACTCTACCCTCAACACAATGAACACACAAGGTTATTTTTATTAAAAGATGTTTGATATTGTATTATTACTTTCAAATCGGTAAAAAAAAAATAACTATTCAGTAGGCTAATTCTTTTACGTCATGACTTAGACCTAATCACGGTTTTGCATACTTGCTCTAAAACTTACCAATGTAGCCTTTTGTTGGCACATGTTGCTGTTTATTTCATTTTTTCATTGATTTAGAAACTAAATATAATTTATTTAATATAAATTAAACAATACTTAAAATCATTTACATCACTCGACTAAAATAGTATTTGCATTATTTAATTAAATGATATTTATTAAAACCAACACGTTTCGAATTTGTGTGTATCCAACAGAGTATTTTCGTCTTTTACGTAGCCTATTTTCATTCGGTTCATTCCAGCTTTATTGGTTCACTCATTTCGGCTCTTTAAGATTTGGACATGTTCAAAGGTTCCATGCCGACCAACTCAGCTGACTCGAGAACCATCCTTACTGATTCAGTCCGATTCGTTAAATCCGATAGGTCTATGTGAACGAATCCTTAAAGGGGTCATATGATGCTGCTAAAAAGAACATTATTTTGTGTATTTGGTGTAATGAAATGTGTTTATGTGGTTTAAGGTTCAAAAAAACACATTATTTTCCACATACTGTACATTATTGTTTCTCCTCTATGCCCCGCCTTTCTGAAACGCATCGATTTTTACAAAGCTCATCGGTCTGAAAAGCGAGGTGTGCTCTGATTGGCCAGCTGTCCAGTGTGTTGTGATTGGCCGAATACCTCAAGCGTGTGACCGAAATGTTACGTCCCTTACCATACTGTGATGCCTGTGGCAACCACATGTGACGACCCCGGGCTGGACTCCGCTTCGTCCACGGTGAAAGCCGATCCGGCGATCCACAGCGCGAAGTTGAAGTATTTCCTCAGCGACCAGCACGGATCAGCTCCAGGTATGACGAAGCAGATATCGACCTCTTTTGGAAGGCCAAACAAAGTAGTTTCGCTTTCACAACGAAGCACACAGCGCCTTCAAGACATGGCGGCGGCGGCAACAATACTACAGCGAAAATCAAAGTTACGCCTTCTTTCTTTGCGTGAACATTTGGGCGGCGTTATGCAAATCTTCCCACATCGTGACGTAGAATGAAGTTATAGTTAGAAATCATCCATTGGGGTCTTTAAAAATTTCAAATTTATATAGGAATCATCCATTAAGGTCTTTGAAAATTTCAGATTTCAATTGTTAGTTAGTTAGTTAGTTAGTTAGTCAGTTAATTAGTTAGTTAAGAATCATCCATTAGCATTTTCAAAAACTTCAGTAGATGTTAGTTATTTATAGTTAATTAGGAATCATTCATTAGGGTCATTCAAACTTTCAATAGTTAGTTAGTTAGTTAGGAATAGGGCCCGTTTAAAATTTCAACAGGCCCCTGGATCTTACCTCCCAGTACTTTTTTTATTGTCTTCTTTCTTTTCTATGTATGTGAAGGTCCAGAGCATTCCAGAACTATTCTTTTCCACCATAATCCCTTCCTGGCTTTTTGGATTGTTTATACTAAATGTAAACATTTCCACCTGTTGTTCCCTGATGAAACGCGCTCCACCTGTGCCGGAACACCTGCCCTGTAGATGTTTTGTCCCAGAACACATGTTCGTAACACTGTCTGAATCTACTGTCCTTCAACCATGTCCTGATTTGATCTGCTGGTCGGTGATTCAGCGCAGACGTTTATATGCGATCTAAGGCCAAACATGTGCTGCATTGCCACGTCATCTACACTAGAGCACGGATGCTGTCCTGAGGGTTCATATATTGTACACGTGGAGCTGTTTTAGGGCAAGAAGGCCAGGATCAGCTTCATATGAGTGTTATGGGATCAAATAGTTACCCATCTCGATTATAATTATTGACATCCGGAGAGCCTTAAAATCAGCATTTTGAGTTCCCTCACAAGAATATTGTTTGCACACTAGCTACAAATGGCTAACTTTTGTTAGCTGCATGTAATATTATGAAATATTCAATATTATAAACACAATAAGCCACTCAAAGCCATGGGTAATTTTATGTTCCACAGAAAAAAGAAAGTCAATCAGTTTTGGAATTACAAGAGGGTAAATTAAAGAATTCTTCCACTAATGCTAATATAATTAATTAGGCTCACTGTAGACTGTTTACAATGTAGCTTAGCGCATTAATATCAATTTGAAGCCACAGGTAGGATATGTTCTATTTATCAGCATTTTACAACAGTTTTGAGCGAGGCTCACTGAGTCAGAAGTTCGACTGAAGTTAGAGTTTTCAGATGTCTTTTTTTAACCTGTCTTTTAATTGCTTATGTTTCCTCTTTAACTTATAGTTTATTATCAACACAGAAGGTAAGAGCAAGCCACTAGGGTGGTAGCCTATCAATCTGATTAGGTTTAGCAGACGGAAAGGGCCCATCCCCACAGTGTAATGTAACTTTGGCATTAGCTTGAACATGAAATCCTTTCTGCGGCACATGCAGCGCAAACCTTTACTTTATCCGTTTTACTGCAAATTAAAATTTTGTTGCTTTTTCCGTCTGATTTTACGGGAAACATCTGGGGCTCGCACCACTCCGTAACTGTGGCCCTAGGCATTCTGGCTCAGAAGGAAGGTGGGAATAATGAGACCGTATCAAACACGCTACTGATGGATAGGCACTCTACCCTCAACACAATGAACACACAAGGTTATTTTTATTAAAAGATGTTTGATATTGTATTATTACTTTCAAATCGGTAAAAAAAAAATAACTATTCAGTAGGCTAATTCTTTTACGTCATGACTTAGACCTAATCACGGTTTTGCATACTTGCTCTAAAACTTACCAATGTAGCCTTTTGTTGGCACATGTTGCTGTTTATTTCATTTTTTCATTGATTTAGAAACTAAATATAATTTATTTAATATAAATTAAACAATACTTAAAATCATTTACATCACTCGACTAAAATAGTATTTGCATTATTTAATTAAATGATATTTATTAAAACCAACACGTTTCGAATTTGTGTGTATCCAACAGAGTATTTTCGTCTTTTACGTAGCCTATTTTCATTCGGTTCATTCCAGCTTTATTGGTTCACTCATTTCGGCTCTTTAAGATTTGGACATGTTCAAAAGTTCCATGCCGACCAACTCAGCTGACTCGAGAACCATCCTTACTGATTCAGTCCGATTCGTTAAATCCGATAGGTCTATGTGAACGAATCCTTAAAGGGGTCATATGATGCTGCTAAAAAGAACATTATTTTGTGTATTTGGTGTAATGAAATGTGTTTATGTGGTTTAAGGTTCAAAAAAACACATTATTTTCCACATACTGTACATTATTGTTTCTCCTCTATGCCCCGCCTTTCTGAAACGCATCGATTTTTACAAAGCTCATCGGTCTGAAAAGCGAGGCACATATATATATATATATATATATATATGTAAACTCTTCTGTTTAGAGACAAACACACAATATAGTTTCCATACTGATAACAGATGGCCTTCCTGTACTATCACCATGCCGACATTTAAGAATAACTTGTGAAAATGATTAAATGTATTTGACGACACAGGAGACGTCATCTACGTTTCCTCTATATAAAAAGCTCCTTTCGTTGTTTCCTTCGTGATGATGCTCAAGTCCGTAGGTGTATCTACTGAATGTCCTTTGGCCACGTCACTGAGGTTTACAGGTTCATCAATAAATCCTTTGGTGTCTTCAAAATTAGTGGAAGTAAACAGCCTGTGGAAGAAGAAAAAAGGCATTTATAAGAAAGGTTCAAAAATCTGCTTCTTTCTATCAAATAGTGCTGAAACGTCTTTGCAGGACATTTCTGGGAAGGCCTAAAGCTTCAAGGTTTGTCTGTGGTCGAACGCACAGACTTGGTTTAAAATGTAGAGAAATGGGAAGCTATTAATGATCCCATTATTTAATTGTGAGTGGGAGCACATGCTTACACAGGAAAAGGCTTGATTCAAACATGTTACACAAATGCCAGGTGGAATTACGTCACTGGAAAATAGCTGTGATTTAGGAGGTCGTTTGTTTTGAAATTCGAAGCCATACACCTGCCTTTCTTCTGATTTCTCAGTAGCATATATTACTTTATCCAAAGAAATTCATAAGATTGAGTTAGAATTCAAAGTAAAATCATCACAAGAATTGAGTTTAACATTTTTTGACAGCTGTGTGTTGTCTTGATTGATGGAGGCCTAATCCAGAGCATACAAGGAAAGCAACAGCTTTATCCAACTCATTTTAACTGGTGGATTCAAATGGGTTAAACAATGCATAATTATGATTACTCATTTCAATTATTGGTGATTTAAAGTAGGACCGTATTCAGTATTATAGACATGCAGGTTCATATAATAAATACCACAAGATATAACTAATACATGCATATTTTAGCTTATTAAATAAAATGAAAATACATTTTAATTTAAACATCTCAAAATTATTTTTAATAATTGCTCATGTTGTATCACATTTTAGCCTGAAAGATTTCAGCCTTGCCTTAATGCCTTAAGATGTCAGTCTTTGGTTTCAGTGGTTACTGTGAAGTTATTTCACAAGCAAAACCATGGTTTAGGTGGCAGCGCACCTTCTCACTTACAAAATGAAGGTTCCTGCAGAACCATAAGGAACTTCACTTCCTGATGCCATATAGCAGAATCTTTTAGTTCAACTGAGCACTGTTCTTTAATATACAGGTGCTTTAAAGAACCCAAAACACTGATCTGAAGAACCAAGTAGGTTAACAAGAACTTTTTTAATCTCCCAAAAACCATATACTACAGCAAAATTGAACGTTTATTTTTAGGAGTGTAGACCAAGAAATTTTTTTTCAGGGGTTTCAGAGAACCTTCTTAATTTCTTTGTACATATATAAAATATGTATAAACGTAAGCGTATAACGTATATGTTATATATATAAAATATGCGTTCAAATGCATCCAGTTTTTCCTCAGTCGTGCTAATAATTATTTTCCATTTCTCTCTCACGGTGTTTTTAGCTAACGTTTATTAACGCGCTTTGTAACCAGCTTTTAAATCGCCGGTGAAATGTGAGTTTTATTCATTAACGGGAAAATGTTCCATTAAATATAAAAAGCTTGGTTGGGTCGTCATTCGTTTCGTAAGATTGACGATATTATGTGAATATGTTTATTTGCACCCGTCGTGATATGAACTTAACTGAGAAAAATGAGAATCCAGCGTTTGTTTTCCTTGTTATTTTTAGAAAACATAGGCTACATTACTAGTAGGCTATAAATCTCTCCATACTGTCTGTGATTTCTCTGTTGTGATTTTACTAGAAATATTAGGCTCTTTAGAAAATGTAGCAGTCAAGGAATGTGTAATCAGCCAGTTCTCATAGTAATTATGATGAAAGTTCATTTCTTACTCTAATTGCGCGCGCTTCTATGGTGCATTTTACTGTTTAGAGGGTTTTACGGTTTTATGTTTGTCTTTAAAGCATAATAATATATGTTTTATAGCCTATATGTATGTTCTCCCATATTAATTTAGTCCAAATGGCATATCGTGACCTCTAGCAGTTCTGTTATAATCGCTGAGATCATACATGCCACTGGTTTATGTCCTAAAGTATCTTTAAAAACGTTCTGGCATTTTCTGTGACACCAGATTGAATTGAATATCCCCGTAATAGCTATTTGGCCACTACATTCAACATTTATTTTAATATCTATCCTAGTGTATCTTATGAAGACATTCTCTAACAATAAAAAAATAATAGGAATTAGTCTAACATATAAAATCAACATTCTTTA